AAATTCACCAGCTGCTCCACAGGAGAAGGATGGGCAACCTCTTCCTGTGTGATTAAATGCCTCTGAAAATCCACTGCAGGATATGCTATAGGTTGTTCTAAACTGAGGCAATGTTGCCCCGTCCGAAATATCTGGTAATGTCTAGACACATTTTTCTTATCATGAATGAGAGCATGTAAGGTAAACACCTGACAGCGGGCAAGACATCTTGTTACCATCAAGAATTATCTGGCCTCAAATGGCTTATAATTCCACTGATGAGGAACATCACACTAGACCTCTATCACCTGTGACCTAGGACACTGGCAATAGTAGCTCTGACAAAAACTTTTCTGTTATTTTCACAGTTGAAAGCTACGTATGGGAGGAGAGAGAAAGACAAAAGAGTCAGTGTGTGTGTGTGTGTGTAACATGTTAATTGTGATTTAGGTGAACGTCTGCAGAAAAATTCTGTTTCCATCAGCAACATTTTACTTTAGGAAATAAGCGGTGATCCTCTCAATAGAACAAGTCTTCCTGACTCTTTCTTTCATTTGCCATTTCCATTCTCTCATCTTCCCTGGCCATTCTTGCTTTCTAAGCTCTGCTTTTGGGCAAATGCTGACCTTTGGTCTCATTTTAGTACCTTTTCTTTACTCATTCTGTAGTAGTGTTAAGGTTCTTACAAATTATTGAGAGAAGTACAATAGGTGTCGCTTTTCACTTTAGAAGACCGTTATTTGGCTGCAAAGTGAACTTTCAGAGTCGGTTTGGTTTCTGATTTGAAAGACAAAGGTCGTCATCTTGATGCTTCTACCAATCTCTGTAAGGCCAGTAAATCCAGGGCAGAGAAAAGTGTGAGTCATGCCTACACTCCACTGGGTCCCTAAGGCTATAAATCTTTACAGGCAGAGACTGCTCTCTTTTATCTCAGTTAAGTTTGCTAATTTTTCTTATGTCAATGTGTATTTTTTTTTGCATGTGAAAGCAAAACTTTGAATCCCCCTTTTTAAATTTTATATTGGTTTGCGTAAAAAATTCACATTGTGTTTCATTCCTATGTAACACAACAAATGGGAATAATTATATGAAACACAGTACAAGGTACACAAATGTTGTATGCAAACCTATATATACGTGTGTGTGTGTGTGTGCTGTATGCTCTACTGGAAGTCCTTTCTGGGCCTCTGGAATGAGAAAGTTTTTGCTTTTCTGAAAGTCTTTCAGGTCCTCTTGCTCACTGAGGTCTCCTCTCCTAAATGCTATTGTTTTCTTTAGTTTTTGGAGTGGCCACCAATGGCAAACAGGTTCCCCAAACAGAGTAGTTTCTCTCCAAGGGAGCTGCAGTCCCCTTCTTCCCCAGTACCCCAGTGTGCTGGCTCTGAGAGTCAATCTCTCACCTGACTGCTGCCCCTCTCAAGTTTAATGTCCTCTTTTGTCTGAGGAGTGGTGTGACCAGGTTCTCCGACTTCAGCAGTTTTAGCCAGGGCGCTCATAGGCAGCTCCCTCCCAAGCTCTTCACTGTGCTGGCTGTGGGATTGAGTCTCTTGTCTGACTGTCGCCCCTTCTCTTGAAGTCTATTGTCCTCTTTGGTCTGTGGAGGTCAGGTTCCCCAATGGAAGACGTTTTATCTAGGGGAGCAGTAGGCCCCTCCCTCCACAGCATCTCAATGTGTTGGCTCTGGAAGTGAGTCTGTGACCTGATTGCAGCCCCTTCTGTTCTATGATTCTTTTTGGCCTGTGGAGTGGCCTCTGGGTGGGCAGCTTCCCCAGCTCTCATTTTTAAAACTTTAAACTTTGTTCTCCATTTTTGTTCCACTTTGCCCAGGACCTTCTATGTGATTCTGCTAAGAATGGCTGACAGTGCAAGCCAGGTACCATCTCATTGCTCTGGTTCAGACGAGTGGATGTTGTGGTTAATGTGGTTTCTATTATTCCTTTTGATTATTTCCCATGAGTCTTTGATTTTCATCAATCTTTTTTACTCTGGTGGAAGAAAGCAATAGTGTTCTCTTCAATGGTTGTTTGATACCTTTTAAGACCCCAGATGCTCTTCACAAAGCAAGATGCAGAACATTTCCTTCATATGCTGTGTTACATCAATTGACCTAGAGGTCCATGGAGACTAAAGTTCTAAACTCTCAAGTCCAGTGACAAGGTACTCCAAGGTTTGGTTACGGCTAAGCAGTTTATACAGCTCCGCCCTGTATGTCTTACCATATCTTATATAGTACACTATCTAGTCTATGCCTCCTCATGAGGGAGCTTTGGTGGCACAGCTGTAGAAGCTGTGCTGTAATGCAAAGGCTGTGTCTGTCTGGTGGTTAAAATACACCACAGGCCATAAGAGAAAGATGGGCAATCTCCTTCCATCCAATTTACAGGCTCTTAAACCCAATGGAGGGTCAGCTATGCATTGGTTCCAACTTTACATCAATGAGGGAGTGACTGTACATTATGTGTATATACTGAATGTTGCAGCTGTTGTCATCGAGTAGAGCACAACTCATAGAGATCCTATGAACAAAAGACCTGAAGCCTTTCTGTAACTATCGTCGTTCTCAAAGTTCATGGAGTTTCCAAAGGGATGTTGTTTAGGAAGAAGATGCCAATCCTGCGTCCAAATAGACACATGTAAAGATCTATAAACAAACATGCTCTGCAAAACCGACACGTACTTGTGAGTCAACTTCCATACCCCACCACACATCTGTTCAGCTTACAGACCCCTAGTCTGTGGGGAGCTGCACTGCTCATCCAGACCCTGTTTCTCTTTCTCTTGTGGTTCTAATATAACGTCAGCACCTTGGGAGAAAGACAATCTCCTTCCGTGCAATTTACAGTCTCAGAAACCCCAGGAAGGGTCAGTTATGAGCGGGTTCCAACTAATCAAAGAGAAAAGAACAAATTTTCTCCCTTGCATCCCTGATATCCATCAAAGAATGCTTCTCGAAGGGTGTAAAACCTTTCCTTGATTATCTATAATGCACCACCTACAGTATTTGTCCTTTTACAACTGACTGATGTCCTTTAACATGATGTCCTCTACATCTCTAAGTGCTGTGAAGTATTTTAGATTTGTTTTGTTATTCTTTAACACTGAGTAGTCAACTGTATATATGCAGACCATAGTTTCTTTAGCCATTCATCTGTTGACTGGCCCTTAAATTGGTTCTATCTTTTTGCAATTATAAATAATGCTTGATGAAAATGGTATGCATACATCATTCATATCATTGGTCTTATTTCTCTAGGATATATACCTAGGAGTGAGACTGTGGGGCCATATGGTATTACTATTTTAAAGTTCTGGAGGAATTGGTTATACTACTGTAAAATCCTATTAGCAGTGTGTGAGAGTTTCAATCTTGCCTGCATTTGTTATTTTGTTTTGGTTTTGATCATTGTTATTATTGCTGGAGTAATATATCTTTTTGCTTTGATCTGCAATTTCCTAATGGCTAATCAGAGTTTTGATTTAGGAACAGCTGCTGAGTTTTATTCATTCTGTTACTCTTTTTCTCTTGATTGGCACATTTAGTCCAATTTACCCAGTAAGTGTGACAGATTATTGTCAGGCCAGGTTTTACATTTGCCATTTTGCTGTGTTTCTTTTTTTGTTGTTTCTGGTTACTATGGTTCATCTACTTTCCTTTGGCATCTCCGTGTGAAGAACTTCACTTGAAATTTCTTGTAGTTTTGGTTTTGTTTTCACAAATTCCTTATGTTTCTTGATTTCTCCATCCTATTTGATGGAGAACTTTGCTTGGTACAGGATCCTTGGCTAGCAACTGTGTTCTTTCAACTTTCTGTATATGCAGTCCCATTGCCTTCTAGCTCATGTGGTTTCTGCTTAGCTGCTGACTTTTATCACAAGTCTTTTCTGCATTAACTGATGTGATCTGGTGGTTCTTTTCCTTTGTTTCATTTATGTGGTAGATTATGTTGGTCAGTTTTCTAATGTGGAATCATCATTGCATACCTGATATATTTATGTCATTGTATATTATTGATATGTTATTGTAATTTCTGTGTCTATATTAAGGAAAGTTACTGGTTTATGTATCCCCCCTGTCCTCCCTCACCCAGTTTTGCTTGCCTTTGGTATTAGGGTCCTGACTGCTTCATAAAAGGAATTGGGAGTATTCCAATCTTTTAAGTACAAATTGTGTCATATCTTCTCTGAGTATTTGACAGAAATTACTAGCAAAGCTACAAGGTCATGGTTTTTGGTTGGGTAGGGGTTTTTTGGGGGGTCTGGTGATTGTTACAGTTTTTTATGACCACTTCAATTTCTTTTGGGTTTGTTCACATTTTCTATCTCAGTGTGTGTTAATTTAGGTGGGGTGTTTCTCAAAACTTATCCACAGGTTTTCAAATTTGTTAAGAGTATTGTTGTTAAGAGCCATAAAGTCGCTTGCAACTCATAGCAACTGTGTATGTACAACAGCCCTTAACTCTGCTTTATCCTGTGCCAATCTTATTGTCTCTGACACACCTACCCCCATTACCCCAGTCACTGAATCAATCCATCTCATCAAGGATCTTCCTCTCTTAGTTTGTCCTTCCACTCTCCCAAGCATGATGTCCCTCTCCAAAAACTGGTCCCACCTTGCAATATGTCCAAAGTATGTCAGATGAAGCTTCAGAATCCTTGTCTCCAAGGAGCAGCCTGGTTAAGAATATAGTTTTTCATAACAGTCTGTCACAAGCTAGCTGGTTCTGTTGTAATGGCACCTATTACATTTATTTGTGCTAAATGCATTTACATCCTTTTTTCTTTTTGTTACTTTCACCAATGGAGATATTTTACATTTGGCAGATAGTTTAAACATTGTAGTTTTTAAAAAAGGGGGACTGACTTGTAGGAATAAAGTAAAATGTGAAGTGATTGACTGGGGATAAATTATTCAATATAAAAGTAAATTTTACATACTAGCTGTTTAAGACAGAATATTTACTTCTCCAAATGCTGTATGATAACAAATGTTTAATATTTTAAGAGTATTTAAAAAATCGTACCTTCTTAACTGCTGCAATATATCCTTCTTCTTGAAACATTTTGAAAAATTCACACATGAATGTCTCTTTGAAACTTGACTAAGAAAAAAACATAATTTATACATGTCAAGTAGAAAACGAAAAAATAGTAAAGATTGCATCCTAAAATGACTCAAGAATCCATTTCAAAAGAGTTATGAAGTTTGGAACTGGGCTCTTTAATAGCTGTTCTGTGATTCTGGCATAGATAAACATACTATCTCTGCATTTCCCTTGTAGGTGTAATATAAATTTAAGTGAAATAATCCTCTTTTGTAGATGACTAAGATGTAGTATAATCTGTAAGGAGCTGTGTTTCTCAAAGGTAACACTTCTCTGATAGTTTGAATCCCCCAGGGCTCCAAGTGAGAAAGATGGCCAATCTTCTCCCACGTGATTTACAGCCTCAGAAAAAGTGCTGGAGAATCAGCTATGAGCTGGTTCTGCCTGAAAAGCAATGAGCTTTTGAGATGGTATTTTAACCATCTAAGAGATATTTACTCCACTGACTTATGTTCCTTTTTTTTGTTTTGTTTTGAATTTGTGAAAGATGAAGGACGAAAAGGGCATAAAAAGAATATAACAACATTTAGAAATACGAAAATAAAAATAAAAAGACCTACCTTGCTTTTGGATAGACTCCCCCAGCTTCCTAAAGTCTGAATGGTTTTTGAAATAAGAGTCAATGTCCTAATTGTTTGTGGATCCTAAAGAATGTAAAAAGGACACAAAATTCATGATACACTCTGAAGAAACAGAATTTGCATAAAAATTCAATAAAGTAAGTTACAGTTTTCTAAAAATTGTTGCTCAAAATGCTGAATAAAATAGAAAATGTGTTTAAAAATCTAGTTAACGTTGGGCATAACTCACTGGACTATAGAATTAAGAAACGAATTGACTATCCTAAAACAATGGTAATTAATGATGTGTTACTACTATAGAAAATTTTATACACACATATGACAACTGGCGATATTATAAATTGTTTTATACAGTAGGTTAGTATGGCCACTTGGACTGCCTGAAAAATTAAGCTCACTTTTGGAATGCCAATAGCATTAATTTTTTTTCTAACTTAAAGGATAGCTTCCATATTTTCTGTGTTCAACTCACTCTAAGCATATTTAATAATTTATACAAATGCTAAAACAAACTCATTACCATGGAAACAAAGACCTACATTCAGTTTAGGAAATAAAAAGTCAGTACATGAAGATCTTGTAAAAGGGTAAATGATGAGGTCAATTATAAATGGTGTTGTGTGGGCCTATTTGAAAAATCCTTACCACTGGATCAACAGTCAACATGGGGATAGATGGAGAAAAGACTGGCGTTGTCAATAATTTCCTTTATTTAGATCCACAACTGACAGCCATGGTAATAGCAGACAAAAGATTTCTTGTGCTGGGAAAAAGCTGCAGTCAAGGCCCTTTCCAAAGTGTTAAAAGAGCAAGGATACCAGTTCAAAGACTAAGCCATAATTTTTTCCATTGCTTCTTATGCAAATGAAAGTTGGACAATGACTAAAGATGATGGAAGAACAGAGGCTTCTAATAATGCTGTTGAACAACAGTACCGAACAGTCCACGGACAGTCAAAAGAACAAGTCTCTGTCTTAGAGGAAGTATAACAAGGCTGCACCTTAGATGCAAGGATGGTGAAACTTTGTCTCATATACTTTGGGCATGTTGTCAGAAGGACTTGTTCCTGGAGAAAGAGATCATGCTGGGAGAGGAGGAAGATCAGAGAAAGTGAGGAAGGCTTTCACAAGATGGATTGAGACAGTAACTGCACCAAGGGGCTCAAGTGTATTAGAGATGGTGGGACAGCACAGGACAGGACAAGGTTCAGATCTATTGCTCATAAGGTCGCTGAGTTGCAGGCAACTTGGTGACACTTAATGATATACAGCAAAGGGGTACAGATAAAATATAACTGACTAAACAGTGCTCCCCCATAAATCTTTGTTCCCTCCTTCAAAATAAAACATAATTTATATATAAGGAAATGAAAGAAAAAAAATAATCTCAAAATATGGTCTGATGAGTTTTACCCAATGCATAAACATCACATTAGAACACCTTTCTTTGTTTTAGAGATTCCAATAAATAGTGACTTCTATCAAAAGACATGCTCAGGAATATTTATACACTGATGGGCATCAGTTTAAAATAGGCAATGAATGTAAAGGAGAAGGCAAGTCAAGTTATATGGGAAGCTGGAAAATAAAGAATATCCTGGGAGATGATCAGTAAGATACAATGCATGACATGGTTACACATCTAAACGAAAACTATTTAGAAAATATTTCAGCTGAAATAGCCATGATTCCACTATGTCAGTTGTTTTTAGGAGTCGTGAACAGAGTCCAACTCATAGTGACCCTATGAACAATTGATCTGAACATTGTCCTATCCCGTGCCATCTTCACAAGCCCTGACACACTCAAGTCCATTGCTGCAGTCATTGTGTCAACCAACTGGTTGAGGGTCTTCTTCTCCTTCATTACCCCACCCCCCCTTCCAAGTGTGATATCCTTTTCCAAGAAACAAGTTTTCTGAGCAATGTGTCCAAAGTCATCATCATCCTTGCCTCCAAGGAGCACTCTGGCTGCACCTTCTCCAAGATACATCTGTTTGTTCTTTTGGGAGTCAACAGGGCCTTCAGCACTCTTCTCCAACATCACAGTTCAAACACATCATCAATTCTACTTCTGTCATCCTTAGTCGTTGTGCAGCTCTCAAATGCAAGGTTAAGTGACTGAAAAGACCATGGCCTGAATCAGGCACACATTAAACCTCAAAATGACATCGTCTTCAGTAATACGAAGAGGTCCAAGACTACAGATGAAAATTCTCTGCCTCCATAGGAAAGAAAATTCTTACAAATGTACTAGTAAATGGAATTTAAAATGAGTTTTCTCCAAGAGTTCTTTGTTCAAATTTATTTTTAAAACTAGTTTTTTAGGCTATATTGTTATCTGCCATTGTTATGTACTGTCAAGGCAGAAGTAATTAATTGCTGACCATCCAGTGGGTTTTCAGAGGCAGTAAATCTCATGGAAGAAGAAGACAAAGTAATGACAGGCATGGATCAATAGCAAATAATTATATAAAATATGTTTGAATGATTGTATAAACCTCAATGTATATGAACAAAGTAAAATGTACACGAAAGACTGTATAAAACACATAATGTACATGTATGAAATAGTATATATGAATGATTATATGAAAGCCAATAAAAAATTTAAAATTTTCCCAGAGGAGCAGATGGTACATTCATTGTTTGAATGTGGGCTGGCAGTGCAACTCCTTAATATTAAGCTACCAGAGCTCCTGGGGTTTTAGTGTTTCAATTTGGAGAAAGAACAAAACTTGTGTCCAACTTCGGCACATCAGAAGTTTGCTTACATCAATACAGCTCTCACTGTTATTTAGAGCCCTGATGGCATAGACCATAGAGAGCTGAGCTCCTAAATCAAAGGCCATGGATGCCTAATGGAGAGTTGCAATGCCAACCCAAAGGCAGGAGGTTCAAATCTAGCAAGTGCTCCAGAGGAGAAAAATAAGCAATCTCTTCTTTTGCAATTTACAGCTTCTGAAACCTGGTGCACGGTTAGCTGTGAGTCAGTTTCAACTCCATGGCAATGACTTTTGCCTGATTTTTTTACAATCATGCCATTCAGTGAATGCTGATTTCTGCTGTACTACACACAAAAGCTGTTCTAGAAATACCATTTGACCCAGCAATTCCACCACTGGGAATATACCCTAAAGAAATCAGAACTGCCACCCAAACAGACAGATACACACCCATGTTCACTGTGGCTTTGATCACAATAACAAAGAGATGGAAACAACCCAGGCTGTGGTATATTCACAAAATGGAATACTATGTAGCACTGAAAAAGTAACTCATGAAAATATTATACAAAATAAGCGACCCTAGAGGATATTTTAAAATTTCCCAGTCACAATGTGCCATCATAATTTTTCATAGATTACCTTGCCTTTCATAAATGACAATGGCTTTATCTAGTCACCTGACACCTCACATGTATTTATTGAACTCAACTGAGATGCTTCGTTTCTGAACTCATAATAATCTAAGTACATCAATCAGCCTAGTGATGAGAATCTTTTGTTTTCTTGATGTTAAGCTTCAGTCCATATTGAAGCCTGCAGTTCTTGACCTTCTGCAGCAAGTGCTTTAGGTCCTCCTCAGTTTCAGCAAGGAGGGCTGTGTCACTACATAACGCAGATTGTTGATGAGTCTACCTCCAATTCTGATGCCACACTTCTCCTCATAGAGCCCAGCCTCCCAGATAATCTGTTCTGCATAGAGATTGAAAAGGTATGGAGATAGGATACATGCCAGGTGTACACCCTTCCCAGCTATGAAACATTCAATGTTCCCTTGCTCTGTTCTGACAACTGTCTCCTGGTTCAAGTATAGGTTTCGCATAGGCATGATCAAGTGTTCTGGGATTCCCATTCTTCTCAGAGTCAGCCACAGTTTGTTATGATCCACACAGCCTTTGCATAGTCAATGAGACACATTCCTTTGAAAAACATTCATTTGGTACTTCCTGCTTTCAGCCAAGATCCATCTAACATTAGCTACAATATCCCTAGTACCACGACCCTTTTTAAACTCACCCTGCACTTCTGGAAGTTCTCCGCTGATGTGCTGTTTCAGTCATTTTTGGATAATTCTCTGGAGAATCTTGCTTGCATGTGATATTAATGAAACTGATAATTTTCACTTTGTCAGATCACCTTTCTTTGGGATGGGAATATAGATCTCTTCCTGTCAGGTGGTTGTTCTCCAGATTTCTTGGCACAACTTGGTGAGCACATCAAAGGAAGCATCTGTTTGTTGAATATTTCAGTTGGTATACAGTTAATTCCTGGGGCCTTGCTTTTTGCCAATTCTTTCAGAGAAGCTTGAATCACCACAGGCTCTTGCTCATACACTGTTTAATGAAGTTCTTCTGTGTCCACCAATTCCTTTCGGTACAATGAGTCTGTATACTCCTTCCATCTTCTTTTAATACTTTCCAGATCATTTAATATTCTGCCCAAAGCATCCTTAAATATTGCAACTTAATGCTTGAATTTGTTCTTCAGTTACTTGAGCTTAAGAAATGCTGAGCGAGTTCTGCCTTTTTGATTTTCTGACTCCAGCTCTTTGCATATTTCATTGTAATACTTTGTCTTCCTATGCTGCCCTTTGAAATCTTCAGTTCAGTTCCTTAATCTTGATTTCTTCCCTCTGCTTTGGCTTCTCAATGCTCTACTGCTATATTCATAGTCTCTTCTGACATCCATTTTGATCTTTTCTTCCTCCTCTGTCTTTGTAATGACCTTTCGCAGTCTTCCTGGATGGTATTCTTTTTATATCCTCCCATAACTTGTCTGGTCTTGGCTCATTAGTGTTCAAGGCCTCAAACCTGTTCCTGAGATGGTTTTAAAATTCAAGTGGTAATAGGCTCAAGGTCCTATTTTCGTTCCCGTGGATTTTATTTAATTTTCCATAGCTTCAGAAAACTTGAGATATAAACTATCATATCAAGGGCTGGATAGCGGGGGACAGGTGTTGAAGGGAGTAGATGGAAGTAGAAGGGAATGCTGGTGGAGCAGGGAAATAGGTGGCCAAGACACATGTGTCAGGGTGGGGACAAAACTGAAACTATTGATTA